AAAAATAGATATAAATCGATAAAAAAATATTTGTGCCATTTTGTCTGTAAATGCTATCCTTATTTACTAATAGTAACAAATATTTAATATATAGTAAATAACTAGTAATATTTTTGTATAGATTTGGTATTTTATTCATACACTAAATTAGATTAAATAAAAATGTTTCAAAATAATGTAATCCAATTAATTTGTTATTGTCATATTTTATTTTTTATTTGAATACAGTATATAAACTAAAAAATACCGTTTTTATACAGTATATCTTATCAATAGTATTAAGCTATAAAATATGATTTATAATAACAATTATTAGAGTATTTTTAGAAGTTTCTTAATATATTTATTAACCCATCTATTGATTCACTCAATATATTAATACTTTTATGAACCAATTCATTGACTATTGTATAAAATATATCTGATATATCATTCAAGATTAGTTCACATCTAATATATATCTTATTATATTAATATATTGATTATTATAGCACTCAATCCTCTTTCTCAATATATCTATAGTAATGCTGAGTATTAAATAAAACTTTTATATTTATTTATAAATATAATAGTAATTGTATACTAGGTATAAGTGTTTGCAAGTCAATTTATTAGTAGAAATATATAATTTTTATATAACAAAAACAATAATATATATATATATATATATATATATATATATATCATTAAATAAATTATATATTTTGAAATATATATATATATACTTAACTTCACATTTATATTTACCCTAAGTATAATTTATATTAAAACTAAATATAATTAACTATCAAATTTTTTTACTACAAACTATTAACTAGAAATAGTATCTAATCAAAATGTTAAGCAACTAAATAAAATATTATTAGTTTGGGTATTATAGACAATAAACAAAATTAAAAATTTTATTAAAATCAAAATTAATAATATAAATTAAATAAGTATTTTAAAATTTATTATTATTTATCAAAAATACTTTTGAATATATGTGTCCATTTTATGTAATTATAGCAAATAGTGGTAAATTTGAAATACTGTGAGTAAAACAATTGATAGCTGAAGGAAATATGAAATATAAATAGCTTATCTATAATGTGGGTAATAGTTATTATTAACTTTATGGTAATCACAAGTTTTCTGCAAATCAAACATCTATTGAAATAGTGTGTCCACTCCTAAAGACACTCAAAGAATTGAATCAAATAATTGAATCATTGAAAAACAGTTTCATGTTATTTACGTATTGTACTATTCAAGTATGAGCTTCAATACATAATATAACAATATATTATAATATATAGATTTATAAGAAAGTACTACAAATATAATAGAAGAATGTAATAACAGATAAATTTTTATTTTAGAGAAAATTAACTATTTTACAAAATAAATAATTTAGACATTTATTTAATAAATTTTAAAAGATTTTAAAGTTTTTAGTTTAACTTTACCACAAATAGAGATGGGTAAATAGAAAATTCTAATAAATTTACCTAAGAAAATTTCAATAACAAAAATTATTTAAATTTTATTATATTCGTATACTATGAAATCCTAATATTCATTATATCTACAGTATTATTGATACATAATACCGGTATAAACTATACTACTTTGCAAATTGAATCTCTAAATATAAAATTTATTTTTTTAAATAAATAATAAAATGAATTAATTTTGTTGCTTAAAATATTAATAATAATTAATTGATAGTTATATGTAATGTTACAAAATAACAAGTATTAAGACAACAAAATTAACATGGTCATGTCATACACAAATTTTTAAAATAATTTGTTGCCAACTCTAACTATAGATAAATTTTAATGTTTAATAAATTTAGAAACATATATTTTATCATTATTTATCTATTAAATTCTAAAATTAATATAATTTCAATAGCTTTTTAAGTCTGGCATATAATATGATACTAAATTGAATATCACTGAGCTTTATAGCACATTATTATACCATAAAAATATCATAACATTATATATCGTATACTGTTATTATTAGGTATATTATACAGTATAATTATAATTTATAGTTACAATAAATTATTTTATCTTAACCTAACTCTTTTAAACCGGAATATACAGTATTTTTCAATAAAAATGTTTTCACAACTTTAAACTCCAATTATATACAAATATACTATATATACTGTATATATATATATATACATTTTCTATTAATATACATACATATTTACTGTATACTGCAGTAAAACTATGACCTTATATAATATTATATACTATTTATATATATCTACTTTGTTCAGCAAAATATAACATATTTCATGGATATTTAACTTAGAAATAATTGAGGAAACGGTATTATGGAAGTCATAATTACAAACATGACTTTATAGATAGTTATGAACATATTAATAGAGATGCAATGAAAATATTGTTATTATTATTATATTGATTTTCACCATTTTTTATTTACTTTTTTTAGTATTATAGCATTATTAATAATAATAATAATGTATTAATTTATATGCAAATATACCAATGATTACTAATTGTTATATAAAATGAGATAACAATGTGTGGCCGATATATATATAATATATAAAAAACAAATATATATAATAAAGTTTATATATATAAATATATATAATAACTTTCAAAATAGGTGACAATGGTTTTTTGGTTATAATTTCTCAACGGATTGGATTATAACATAAATAATTTATTTGAAACAATGATTTTTTGTGACCAATAGAATGATTTTATTTTGGTTCTGTTATGTTATGTTATATTAGTTCAGTTAAGTATATCTCAAAAACTAAAAGTGATTTGAATTCTGTTTTAATCTAAATTATATTATCAATAGATTAGAAATAATTTGATACGTCTTTTAACATTTTTAAATATATTAAATAGTTTTCGAGTAATATATGATAATTACATTAAAATGTTATAATTTGAAAATTTAATAAACAAAATTCTACCCTGTATATCAACATGCAATTATTTTTAATTAATTCTATATTAAAATTAATACATTTAGTGTTGGCAAAAAAGAGAAATTTATAAAATAATAGAGAAATTTCTAGAAAGTTTCTAAAAAAAATTTCTATCTATGGGATCCCCATGTTAATTTTGTTTTTTCTCGATATATGTTATCATGTAACAATACATGTATTTACAAGTAATAATTAAATATTAGTATTAATCTCTAAGTACATTTCATCAATTAGATATCTCATGTAATTTTTAAAATATTATTAAATTTATTAAAAATAATTGCAAATTGATATACAAAAGTTATAACCAAAAAACCATTTTCACCATTTTTGAAATTTATTATATATACAGTATATAATGTACATAATTATATTTGTAGTATAGCATAGTATATGTACATACAGTAGTTATATACTGTAATTATAGTAATTATAGAATTGTTAGATAGATTTTGACATTTTGATTGAGTTACTATACATTTTGGTAAAATTTTGTAAACATTATTCAATCAAATGATATTATAATAGATGAAAAAATTGAAAAAAATATTTAAATATCAAATACTAAGAACAGCTGAAAATAATGACAATTGAATCTATTCCTCAACTTTTTCAACTGATATTACAATTAATTGTTAAGAATATCGGTTTAACAAAAAATGATTAAATGTTTAAAATATAAATAATAAAATTAAAATTAAAAAATTAAGATGAAAAATAAATTAAACTAAAATATGATTATGTAGTTGTACTTAAGCTTTAATTGTTTATAAAAAGTATAGAAACATTATAAATATATATTACGGAATCTATATATATATATATATATATATATAAAATATAACAAAATGATATAATAATTTTTTCTTAATTTATAATTCATTTTGTAAATATTGTAATCATATATTTTCAATAGTTTTCCGTTCAAATATATTTTATTTAAAAAATTTTACAAATAATTTTTGCATTATAAAACTGAAAGCAATTAAGATAAAAAGTTTTATTATTTCAAAACATAGCCAAAATTATTTATTATATGCTATTTATTAAATAGTATGCAATTGTCATCAATGCCTTCAATTAATGATTTTTTGGTTAACACACTATATATACGATAATATACTGTTTTTGCCTCCAAAGGTGTCTCATTAGAGATAACGAGCGCTCAAATATAATAATTATAACGACTATTACATAAACTAAACTTTTTATAAAATGTTATTTCTAGTCCCTTACATCACAATTTATAACTCGTTATCATTATATCGTTATATATTTGATTTATATTATATCATATCATAATTAATACATATATTTAGATAAAATATTTACAAATTAAAATAAAATATTTTTCTAAGTTCACATTAATTAATATTGTGCTTATCTATTTATTACTGTATATAATAATTTATAAATTTAGCACTATTTACTAAAAAACATTGTATTTAAAAACTAGAATTTAAAAAATTGCATTAATTAAAAATAACTAAAACATTAAATTATTATATACAATATAGTAAATAGATTTGTTGTAACCATTTTAAAAGTACAATAAACTATTTTAATAACAAATAAATATTTTAAACATTTATTTTCCTTGAAAATTACTTTTTTCTAGAAAAGGTGACAAACTTTTAAACACTTGTAAAGTAATTTGTAATTTAAATCAAATATTTAGCTGAAAATATAGCGATAACGACATAATATTTAAGCGAAACTAAGAGTTATTTATTTGACTAAATAAACTAATCGTAAATACAAAATCTGTTTTCACATGAGTCAACACAACTGAATAAAGTCTTTAATTAATTTTTTTAAATTATTTATTTTATGAAATATTTGAAGAATTTCTGGAATCAAATAAAATAATTTGTATAATAAGTGGTTTAGAGTTTGCGTGTTTCACATCTCACATATGGCTCAATAAATATCTACATTATAGATAAATATAACCAAAAAATATATATTTATTTAGATTAAAAACATTTAGTAAAATATATAATTTTCAATTAAAAATTGTTTTAATGAAATGAATAAATGTGTTGCTATTATAGGAGCCGGTATTGCAGGTCTGACAGCAGCACAAAAATTATATGAAAATGGATTCAATGACATCACTATTTATGAAGCATTGGATAGAATAGGAGGACGTATTCATACCATTCCTTTTGGTAAGTGATATAAATTTTATTTTTGAAAAATTAAAGTTTCTTTGAATTAAAGACAATGGTGTACTTGAATTGGGTGCTCAATGGCTTCACGGCCAACACGGCAACCCATTGTATCACTTGGCCAAAGAACGGGATCTTATATCGAATCCTAACATTGATTTCGGTATCGAAGGAACCGGAATATTCTGTACGGATTCGGGAGATTTGCTCAATAATACAGACATTAATAAAGTTATAGAATTTTTGAACCGAATTAAAGATCAAATTAGTGACCACTCGTTAGAAACAAATCAATTAATGTCTGCACAACAAGTATTTCGCGACAATTTTGAAAAATATATCAAAACGCAAGAATGTCCGCCACTTGATACTGATCTCTTGTGGTCCCTATTTAATTGGTATATCAAGTTTGAGGTCATCGATAATTCATGTAATGACTTAAATGATATATCATTGCTATCATACACACAATATGATGAATGCGATGGTATTGACTTAATTAATCTGAAGAATGGCTACAAAACAATAATTGATTCTTTGGTTAACGAATTTCCAAAAAATGTCATTAATTTAAGACATTGTGTCAAACGTATTGAGATCTGCAATAAAAATAATAAAGTTAAGCTTTATATTAAAGATATTGTAAATCATCAAAATATTATCAAAACATTCAATCATTTGATCATCACTTCATCAATTGGTTATATGCAGCAAAATATGGACACGTTTTTTGGATTCATTTTACCGAAAAACAAAATTAATATAATCAAAACACTAGGTTTCGGAACTATAAATAAAATATATTTGTATTTTGATAAACCATTTTGGAGTTCGGATGACAACGGATTTCAATTTGTTTGGACTAAACACAGTAATCATAGCCTACCTGATTGGGTCTATGATATAACTGGTTTTGATTTAGTTAGGGGACAGCCAAATGTATTGGTCGGATGGATTGGTGGTAATGGAGCCATACAAATGGAAAAAGTGCCAAATTGTCAAATGATCGGTGATATCTGTTTTCGTGTTTTAAAACAGTTTTTGCCAAACATGACAATCGAGAGACCATCAAAAGTAATTTGTTCCAAATGGTGGTCCAATGAGTATGTATGTGGAGCTTACAGTAACCGATCGCTCAATTACCAAAAGCTCAACCTCGACATCGAGAGCTTATCGGAACCCATTGTTTGCGAAACAAAGTATTCAAATTTGTCCAATAGATATATAGATTATCCTCTTATACTATTTGGTGGTGAAGCCACTGATCGCCAATTTTATTCAACAACTCACGGAGCGATGCGCTCAGGTCTTCGTGAGGCTCAACGACTTATTGAGTTTTACAATAAACTTAATGTTTTAGATATTTCTAAATTATGAAATAATCGGATTAAATAATAAAGTATTATTCAATTAATTAGCGTATAATGTATTCAATAACTCTTTTAATGTGATTGAAATATTTTACTTAATTCAATTTACATCTTTATGAAAATCATTTATATTTACTATTTTTAAATATGAATATCATATAAATCATTATTAAATTAATGTCATTTGTTGTACACAAAAGATGCATAGTTTATATCACAAATCTTTGTTGATTACAAAATATATAATGAGTATTAATTTATAAATGAAACTTTGTTTAATAAAAATTAATGATTTTTGAATAAAGAAAATCTGATGTATGACTGATATGATTATTATAAACAATAAGTTTTTTTTGCTTAATTAAACTCCAGAATAAAAAATAATTTTTCTTCAATAAAAAGAAAAATTGTGAAATACATAGAAATAAAAGTCTGTTCACAATTGAAATTAAATGTATTGTTAATTATAAAACAAGTTATAAAACCCTAAAGAATAATACCCTAAATTGAATAAATGTTTTTCTCGCAAATTCTTACTAAAATGTGTTATCAAAAAATAACTGGAATTCTTGATCATAATTCTGTTATATAAATTCTATTCGTTGTTTAATAATATATCAGTCATTTATTTTAATCAAAAATATAAAATATATATTAAATATTTTTAGATATTTATAAAAACTATAAATTATTGATACTTTTTAAATACAACTCTTCAAATCTATTAAATTTAGTCGCCAATCATTTGTTTGTTTGTATTGATTTACATGAAGACATTAAACGTTTTGGCACTTCTTTTGTGGCTTAAAATTCAAGCGGAGATCGTAAACGACATTCAAATAACAATTTTACAAAAACCTAACGATTCGTTAACAATCAATCACAACAATCAGCCCAATGACTGCGTCTCTCTTAATAGCCATTGAAGAGCACTTCCTTTTCCTTGTTCTTCAAGAGCTTTACCAACAATATCACGACAGGTCTGATGATAGTTATCCAGCCATACAATCTGTCAGCAATTAATCATATTATTAATAAAGTATTAAAAATAAATAAAATTATATATATAACACTTTTTTATAATCACAATTCAATTTATTAATAATAATAATAATAAAATTATTATTCATAACTAATCGTCGACTCATTTCTCATTAAAATAAGTGTCAATAAATATATTAAATGTTTCAATAAATAAGTAGTTATAATATATTAAATTAATTGTAAACTCCTGTTTCTCTGGAAACGACAGGATATTAATGAGCAAAATAAACAACAAAATTAATTAAATATAACAAGAAATATATATATATATATAATGTGTGGATCACTTACTTCCTCACTCGTTAATAGCGATGGCTCAAGAAGTTTGGTCTGAATGGGCACAAGAGTTATTGTCTCAAATGTGAGATAACCTCTATTTCGATAGTTGTACTGTAAAAATAAGTAAATATTTAATAAATAAAAATTTATCACAAACGAGACAAAAAGCAACAAAAAAACAAATTAAATAATTAATAAAAAATAATTTGTTCATTAAATAAACTACTATTTAATAAAATAAATAAATATATAGAATTAAATTATAATAAAAAGATGTAAGATATACAGCATTAACCACATCATAGAAAATAAATTATGTAAAATCAGATTAGACTATAATATCTATATATGAATTACGAATGAAAACTAGAAATTAATTTAAATACAAATCTAATTTCACAAATGAAAGCCGTTTTGCATTTTGAGAAATATTTTTTTTGTTATAAAAAACAACAAAAATGTTATATTCAAAGCAAAAACTAATTAATAAAAAAATATTCTAAGTTATCGTCCAATAAATCAAAACAACATAACGTTTCAAAAGGAGGAACACAAATGAAAAGTTTAGGTAATGTTAGCTAAAAAGCAAAATAAAAATATAGCAAATAAACAAAATCACAAAAAATATTCAAAACTTATTTGCTTTTTTAATACTTAGTTTTAAATTAGAATTTTTGTTTATGCTTTCAATTTAAAGCAAAAGGGCTTTTAAATCATAAGATTTGTCTCTTTATTGAAATAAAAATTTAATTTATATCTGAAACGATAGTTTAAATAGTACTATAATATATAAATATATAAAATTATATAATACATGTATAAAAACAAAAAATGAGTGAAACAAAACTGGAAACCAGTCATACCTTAGTGTTAGCTTTTTTTATGAGCACCAGATTCTCGATCCTTATGCCAAACTTGTCGTCTTCATAAAATCCCGGCTCATTTGACAGAATCATGCCTTCGACAAGTCCCGGATCATCCGGGTATGGCCTATAACTGATACCCATAGGGCCCTCGTGAACATTCAAAAACATTCCAACCCCATGACCCGTGCCATGCAAATAGTCAAGTCCTACGTCCCACAGAGCTTTACGAGCGCACGTATCCAACACATTGCCCTTAACTAACTGTGGGAATGTAGAAGTTGCCAGTGCTATATGGCCTTTAAATACACGAGTAAAGCACTCTTTCTCAAAGCTAGACGGCGTTCCCAAATGTATGGTACGAGTGACGTCGGTAGTGCCGTCTTTATATTGAGCGCCGGAGTCACATAAATATATCTCATCTTTTGTTATCTGTCTATTGGTCTCCTCAGTGGATCGATAGTGAATAATGGCAGCATTGGGTCCCGAAGCTGATATCGTCTCAAAACTAAGTCCTACAAAGTCTTCCTGTTCTCTAAAGTTGTTAACAAATAAATAATTAGCAAATAGTCTAATAAGTCTAACACAAACCTTCGGAATTGCTCTAATTTATTGGCAGCCGATATCTCGTCGACATCTCCATTGGATACCTCCTCCTCAAGCCATGCAAAGAATTCACACAAAGCAACTGCATCTTTGATCTGACGAAATGTGAGAAAAAGACAATTTTTTTAGTTTTTATAAGTCTCGCATAATATACACTAACAACTAATTAATGCAAATTAAATGCAAATAAATCATTTGATTCGTTCAAAAAAAAGTAGTCAACTCACGTGTGCTCTTTTCATGCCTTCAATTTCAACGGAGTTTTTGATGGCTTTCTTCAGCTGAATGGGACTCAAGGAATCAACTCTTCGTGATTCTGGTACAAGACTGACTAGACTGCAACTCGATTTCTGAGATATCTGTGACAAACAAATATAATTAAAAACAATAAAAAAAATTTAATTATTAAGAAAATTCAATCCAACATCGGTTGGAAATAAATAATAAAATATTTATAAATACAATACAAAACAATACAAACCCATATCTTTCCTTGAATTTGACTGATCATCCATTTGAGAAACTCTTTTATCATTTTATAGGGCCGTAACTCAATGTTAGAGCCGTGTGTTTGATGATTTATAGCCGAGACATCAATATGCAAATGTTTGGATGCCTCCGGACTCAACTTATTTTCGTCAATAAATAAACTGTGAAATTAAAAATTGAAAGAAACAACAAAAACATTAAGTAATTAATAAATAAATATTTAAAAAACTAATTGTCTTTAAATGTTGTTTAATTTATAAATTAAGATTAAATATCACTTACTATATGTTGTCGATTGTTATTACTGAATAGGCAAAGAAAACTGGATTAAAATCAATGTCAGATCCCCGAAGATTAAATAGCCAAGCGATCTCATCGAGTGCTGTAAGGATCAGTGCTGTTGTTTCTTTAGCTACCATCTCTTGTCTAATCTCAACAATTTTTTCAATCCATGACTTTCCAGTAAACACCAATTGTAACGGTTCTACGCTTTTGTTAGGCGGTGGTGGTCTGTTGTCCCAAACCTCATCCACAAGATTATCATTGATTGGCACTAATGTATGGCCCGCCGAATCTAATTGATTCGCTAATTGTCTCCAAGTTTCAAATGATATCACAAATGGGTCGACACCAACTCGACTACCGGGTGATAGGTTTTTGCAAAGCCATTCGGCTTGAGTTGGTGTTCCCGGAATGGCATCTTTCATAAGAGTCCAGTTGTGATCCAACTGTTTCTCTGCTTGAAGAAAATATCGACCGTCTGTCCAAAGAAGTGCGTCTTTGGATGTAATAATTGCTGTGCCGGCACTTCCATCAAAACCAGATATGAAGGCCCGCCTGGCATCACAAGAAGCTATATATTCACTTCCATGGGCATCGGCTGACGGAACAATATAAGCGTGGATAGAGTCGGACACATAACTAGAGTTTTTCATAAGAGATCTCAGTCTCTTTAAGACATTTCCCGTATTTTTTATGGCCATATTAAGCGGTTCCTCGTCTGAACTCTCGTAATAATCGTTGCCTAAATTGATTTTAATATAAATATTTTTGTTTTAATATTTTGGTTTTTCTTATTAAAATATTTATTTTTATAAGCAATTAAAATGCAATTAACATGTAATTGAATGGTAAATATGTTAATAAAAAAGAGTAAAAACACAACCAATTAGTATCTTATGTGTAATAAAGTTAGTCTCAGGAATATAACACCAAACAGTATTGTTATCTTTTTTAATATAAGTTTATCGCAAACAATATCATCATTATTTAATAAAAGTATTTATATGACGGAGATATAACATTTAAAAACTTGAAAGATATCCTATTATATACCAAATGTTATTAATAAAAAAATTATATTTTCTATATAAAATAAGATAGTGGGCGCAGACCTCCAAAATTGAGGGGTATATTTCTAGATCCGAGTGAATAATTAAAATTTTTCAACGAAGGATTACTAAGTGAGGCCATAGATGAGGCAAATGCAGCAGCCATTTGCGGGTTACCGCTGGCCACTGCTAAGTATTTTAAAGTTTCGGTAACTATTGATGGAAAAGCGGCGGCGGCCGCTGCCTGAGCTTCAATAACATCTTGAAGAGCAATACTAGAGGCGAGTAGTCCCTCATCATTACGATCTTTAGAAGTGGAAGCACTAATAGATGGGACGTGTGGTGACGAGATTAAAGATGAACCGGCCGTACCGTTTCTCAGGGCAGCCTCTGGCGGGTGATTGTGTTTATTGTTAGCTTTCTTTACGCGATTATTTACAGTAACGGCCCGTCCCGGACATTGTCTATCTCGAGAACAACGCCAGTAAACAGTGCCGTCTTTGCCATCCCTCACCTTATTATATCTGTGGCCCTCAAACAATAGGGCGACACCTCCTCTCTGAGTGGCCACATATGAACACGAGTTAGAGTCCATCACTACATTAACTTATTATCACTTATCACAACCCAATTAAGATCAATCACAAACAATTACAATCACAATCATATTTGATAAATGCTCACTATTTCACTATCACATCAAAAAGTGATGTCCTCACCAAATGGACAATCATTATGTTATTAATTATCACAATAATCACATTAATAGATTGTTAAAAAATTAAAACATAAAATCATAAAAATATAAATAAAACAAAACAATGAAATTCAATACTTTTCTAAAACAAAAACTTTTTTATGTGTTGATTTCAAGAGTACAACAGCGCTAAACACATGAAACAATTTGGATGAAGTGATGGTATAGATGTGCGCAAAGAGTTTGTAGAGTAGTACTGGTAATGGAAAGGGAGACGAGAGAAACGAGAGGAGAGACGGCTAATAATTGGTGATATACTTATTGAATACAACATCAGTGGTAAAGCAATATAGCAATCGACTACTTGTACTACAGAAAAGTCATATTGAGGTCAATGAACGCACAATTATGTCTAACAAGCTCTGGGAGGCATTCCATCCACAAAAAAGTTGGCAATGGATTCAATGGATTGCTGGCATTGGATGAGCAATGGCTATACATTCACGCCGTTTGATAAGTCGATGGCAAGAAAAAGCAGTTTATGCGACATTAATATTCATGTTTTGAAAAACCAGTAGACAATGGCTTATACTATATATATGGCACACAATTGAGATCACTATTTTATAACAACCAGTTACCACTAATACCTGTGCGCCAATTTGGCTATCAATTAGTTACACGAGTTTTAATCAATTAATAAAACTAAGAATCTCATAATCCATGACTAAATGGCAACAAAACACTCATAATATTAACAGAATTTGTAACCCAATTCTTGAAATATTAATTTTAATAATAACACCAAATCACTGAATCCAAGAATACAAAAGTTTTGATGAAGTTTTAGTTATGATGTCTATTGGATAGTCATGTCTTATTTGATATCAATTATGTTATGCAATGAGTCTAACATTGCATTCAAGATAGAGAGATGAGGACAGGACTCATGTGAGTGGGAGATATGACATAAAGATATTAAAGAATTGGCTCTTTAGGAATGCAGTTGTAGTAGAAGTGGTGGAGTGTTGGTAGTGGTGTTAGTGGTTGTCCTAATAGTTGCTCTTTTAGACCAAATAAAACAACTGGTATTAGACCTTCTAGTCTGACGGGATTGAGATTATTTGCAGCCCTCGGCTCTGGTAGGCATTCAGTTCACGGCAGGGCATTGGCCTAAGTGTAGCTCAAGTAAGCCTCTCTTTAAGCAATGGGTTTCACAAAAAATAAAAATAAATGAATTGACTCTTAGTTTTAGATTATATTTAACTCTTATACAAGTTATATAAACGTTGTATAAATAGGTCTAATAATAATCTAAATGCTATATATCATTGGCAATATTTGACGCAAACCTAATGAATCCTGCTTTCCCTTGCCTTCCCTGTGCTGCTCTCCTCCCGATCCTATCCTCTCTATCTATCCTTTTCCCTCCCAGTGTTAGCCAAACATTCAAAACATTTATTGGGCGCACCTTATAATGGGTTAACGCAACTATTAATACAGTCAAAAGCAATCACTTATGTAAGCAACGGGAGAGCACTGATAGTCCTAATGTACAACACACCTGTCCAGCACTTGAAGGAGGGAACGGGGAGGTAGACAGAGATTGGATGCAAGAATTATGTGAACCACTTGTTCTGTAGACCAGACAAGACATAAGTTATGGCAATAGAGTTGGTCTCCAACCCCAATAGCAAAGGCATGTTAGGCCTCTCTCTCTCTCTCTCTCTCTCTCTCTCCTCAACCCTACTGTTCCCTCATTTGTTTCATTGATATCTCCAGCTATTAGTCATTAATATTCTAATAACGTCTTCGCAAACAAGTTTTACGAGCATTTCGTATGACTTTTAGACAACAAAACCAATTGATATTCATTTCATGGCATACCTTATCAGTGATACCAATGGCTTAAAACATGCCTTAAAGAGTTTAATACCTGCTGTAGACTTAAAATAACTAACATTTTATACGATATATCATTAAAAACGTGAAGTAGAGCTAACCGGCCAACACTCGGGCACATACCTAAGCCAACCACTCAACTGTTAAGCAATGCAATCGATGTATAAACTAATATACCTTATATTGAATTACATTTTATGGCAAACAATGTTTTGCATAAGTATTTACTAAACATTTACTCAATTATTATTATTGTATTAAAAATATTATTATTTTATTCAATAGCCTGTCATTTATATAAACATTTTAGTAATAATGTTGTCTTACCTTAAAATTAATGCCAAATTATGGTTTGCTTTTTAAATACCGGTCCAATCAAATATAAACACTGGTATTATCTTTTTTTTTTATTACAATAACTTTATTATTGTTATTATTGCCAATCAATACGTGTACTTACAGTATATATATATATAAACAGTCTTATAATTTATAATACAGTATATGTTAAACAATAATAGCATACAATTTAAATACAATAATAATGATAAAAATATGGATTTCAATGATAGTCTTGAAAACTATATTATTATTGTCTAAACAAATATTCAATACATTATTATGTTTGTCTGTAGTGTGACGTCAGGCTAACAGTGCTAATAGTAGTCAGTATTGACTCCAATAGTAAATCACATATTACTTGAGCGCCAAATGTACAAACTTTTTAACATTTTAAACATTTTGCATATATTAATATAAATTATATAATAATCTTTTAAATTATCATTGATTTGTGATTATTATTTGACTCTATTTGAAATATTTATAAAATAAAATTACTATAATTTTTGTAATATTTTAGAATCTATTGACTCTCACTCTACATATAAATACTAATTATTTAAATAAAAAACTTGAACTCAATTTTTTATTTATTTATTTAGTATTACTGACTCAATAATATTGAATTTATTATGAATTTTGATTTAGTTAAAAATTCAGTGAAAGTGAATCTCAGGAATTGGATTTATAGTAAAAAAATTTAACATTTGAAAAAAACTACTTTAATATTGAAAATACAGAATATATTACTTATTCTTTCCAATTATAAATAACATTAATAAGAAAAGTTATACCAAAAAAATGGTAGCAGTTTTTTAATGATAATTATGTTTTTAAAAGAGTGAACATTCAGTTTACCTATTTTTTAAAAAACACTGTTCAATATAAATGCTAATGAATTCATTTGTGAATTAACTATTAAGCAGTTTTGCTGTAAAATAAATTAAAAAGTGAGAGAAAGGCTTAAAAAACGGCAGCCACTGAACACTGAGTGCTAATCACGATTACAGATGAGATTTAAATATCTGTCTCCCTGTGCTTGTGTTTCAAACTATTTACTATCGCTTAATTAAATTGTGGTTTCAAAACAACAACTAAAACCGGCTTTTGGTTTCATACAGTATACATAGTATATTGCAATTTGCAAATCAATATGAAAACCCTCTTTAGTTATGTTTATTTTTTATTTTATTATACAGTACTTGTCTAATATACCTGTAGTGTTTTGATCGGTAGGTGCTATCAAACAGCAATATCGATGATTGAACGAGATTTTATTTTTTGTTATTAATACCATACGTATAGCTCAACGCCAGCAAAATTAATATTTTCTCTTTAATTGATTATTTGCCTTAATATTTGATTTAATTAAAACAAATTTTTGTAGTATTCCCTAATGGCGATCACAATCGACACACTATTTGCTATAAAATTAAAAAAAAGTTTTCATAACTTTTTTCTTATTTTTTGATTACTTCATTACAATTTTCGCACTCATTAGTCATTTACTGTAGGTATTAAAATGATTAGGTATAAGCTTTATATACAGACAACTGTTTTGCATTGCTATCTAATCCCGATTCCCAATACCCACCACTGCATTGGCTTTCATGAGTCTGACCCCTCAAGTCGTGTTAGAAAACTTTTTTGACGCAAACTTTTTTTTGTATTTTAATTTTAAAAGACTTTTTGTTTATTACTTATTAAACTTTTTCATTATTTATTAAATAGATTTTCAATACTAATATTATTATATTAAAATTGCAGTTTAAATTTATAATTATTTCTTACAGGTTTTTATGAGTAATATTATTTTACATTTATTTTATTTAATTATTTATTTTAACCTATTAACTTATATTATTTTTGAATAATTTAATTTTTATTTAAAATTATATTTTATTTATACTTTTTTTTAAATACAATAATTTATGTTTAATATACAAATCAGTGTTTAATCTCAATTTTGTTATGAATTGCATTTTTTTCAAAATGAAATATTGTGTATAAAATTATATTTTATAAAATACACGATTAAATGACAATATTATAGTGACAAATATTTTTTGATTAGATCTATAATATAATCGTAAAATTAGTTATTTGTGCATTCAGTGCAATGATTAAGCCTATCAGTAATATTTTAATATTATATTTTAATGATAAAATATAAGTAAAGCAAATTAAAAACAATACATCAAAATATGTTGTGATTTTGAGAAATGAAATATTGTTTTAAGCGTTTCTCTGACATCTCTACTGAATCTTTTCTCCAGTGGAGATGTTTTTAGCGATAATTTATTTTAACTAATTTTGAAATCTAAGGTATAATAACCTCTAAATTTTTTAGTAAAAAAAGAGTATTAAGCATTACATACATACCATAGATGTATACCCCTTTTTGGCCAATAATATTGACTACAACTGGTAAATAGGAGTTGACTTTCCATTAATTTTGTTCAAATATTTTTGAAAAATAAAGAATATATTTATCAGTTATAGAACTCTTGGGAGAGATGAGAGATATTTTACATTAATATTAAATAAGAGGTATAAAAGTATTAGTCTTTTTAAAGAGTTATAGGAATGAGTTTGAATTGTTAATTCATTTTGACTGTAATTTTTCATATCATCGATTAGCCAGTCTTTAGGCTTTTGGAGAAATTTGAAAATTATAAACAAAATTACCAACACTTTGCTTCCCCCTATCGCTCCCTTTAAACACACACACACTCATCCCTCTCCTATGTCTATGTTTTATCTTTTTAAATGCTACACAAATGAACTATCATTTGGCATAAAAATGCAATTTATATATTGAAGTTGAATAGAGTTCATATCTGACAAGTTTAATGATTTTTTTGCAGACCTTTTTGTTTTTTACAAATTATTATAAAACCTTATTTTTATATTTTGTTTGCCTGTTGTTATTGTTTGCAATATTATAGTTTATGTGCAATATTTTTTGCAAAATTTCCAACAAATTAAGATTCCAACACATCTATTGAATATGTATTGAGGTATAACTATATTACTTAAGACAATACTATAGCCAACAAACAAAATTACAAATTTTTATTTTGTTGTTTTAGTTTTCGTTGTATTTTTTATTTAATAGATATATAACCAAATATTATGAGAAAAGAAACGTTTTTATTAATCTTTCGTGATTTAAGAAAAGTTGCAAATTATAAACTTGTAATTAATGTAAAACAAAACTCAATAATTTTTTATATAAACATTTAGAATAAAAAAAAACTTTTTTTTCTAATTTTGTATAATTTATAAGTTTTTTTGTTTAGAAAAAACAAAGTTTTATTTTAATTTGCATCTAATGCTCCAAATAATGATGTTTTACTTGAAAAATATTTTGCTAATCGATAACTGGCTCACGAGTTATGTTCAAATTTACTTATTAAGTAAGAGGGCTCATACCTATTAAAAAGCACATATTACTAACCATAGAGTACCATCCCAGTGCCGAGACGGACATACAGTCCATCCCAATGTTGTATATATTATAACTTTACTTATATAAAAATATATAATTTTGTTATACTAAACGTGTTGAATAATTTGCCTCATTTTGCATATATGTTTGTTTTTGTTTCTGTCAATCTTATAGCAAAAATATATACAACACAAAACTATGTTTTTATTGTTATTATTATTATTAGTTGTATATTTCAAATATTATGGGCACGTATTTGCAGAATAATTAATATCTCGGAGAAAATTACACGTTATTATACATTGTCTGCCTTAACATTGAAGGCAAAGATTTATTTGAGTCAATGAAATATTGCGGCCTTTCATTTACTATACGCTACACTATATTATGAAAATATATTTATATATAAAATATAAAGAAAAACCGAAATCAACGTTTATTAACAGTGTCTAAGGATTCTCAGCACTTGTAGATATAATATGTGTATAGTTTTTTATATACAGTATTACAGTATAATATAAGCCTTTTATTAAGAGCGTGAATGCACTGTACTTATAAATTAGGTATAAAATTATTTTTATAACTTTAATAGTCGACCGCCTATTATAGCAAAGGATTAATAGTAGACGACGTGTTCCGCAAATTTAAACTCATATCGCAGATCATTAGCTATTAAACAATTCAATAATTATCAAATGATTAGAGATTATATGTTATGAAATATGCCCTCCAAAAGGGTACAGAAGGAGAAAGGGTTGAGAACCTATAATATGAAAAATATTCAGTCATGAAAACCAATCCTACGATTACTTATATAATATTTATACTTATTATATGTGTGTATATATGAGTAGAGAATAAATGTGTGATTAAAAACTAAATGGGGGTTAAGTTTTGATATAAAATTTAAGATCATAGCCCAAAGGGTACCATAATATTGGTCCAAAACATTATACATACCTAACACTATCTCCTAATGCTATTCTTATCTCAATTTATTCAAACTTTTATCTTTAGAGAGAGAGAGAGAGAGAGAGAGAGAGAGAGAGAGAGAGAGAGAGAGAGAGAGAGAGAGAGAGAGAAAGAAAGAGAGAGAGAGAGAGAGAAAGAGAAAGAAAGAAAGAGAGAGAGGTCATAGCAGTGCTGTATTGCTAAAATAAATGCGACAAAACTGATTCCCAATACTGATATAATCATTAAATATGTATTAATGGGAAAAAATAATTAAATCTCTAAAATTTTTCTTAAATTGATTGATATTAGTGATTACATAAGGTTTTGTAATAAAGAGTATAAAAATTTATTATTATATAATTTTTTGTGTCTGACTCCAGGATAAAAAACATAAGAAAAAAAGAGAACTAAAATATAATTTAATGCTTAACTACACCTAAAGATGTTATGTAACCAATGGTTAGCCTAAAACTTATTTTTCAATGTTTTTATCACTAAAATTATTTGGGTTTATACTCTACATGTATAGTATAGACTTATAATAAATATATGTATAAATTTATTTGTGTGAGTTCAACTATTAAAATAAGTTATAATATTCCCATAATAGGCTAAACATGTTATAAATTTCCCGGAGTTAATAATACTTTAGTTTTAGATATTTATAGAACTAACTCATTAATATTATGTCTATTTTTATTGCAATTTTAAGCAATAAATTTGATAAAATATCTTTAAATAGGCACTTAAAACTCAAGTAAATGAATTGCTAATAAGTTATCTAAAGCTTGAAATTATTTTTTTTAAACTCTGTAATAAGTTATATAATGTTTATAATATTATTACCATTTTAATACATATATATATATATATAAAAGATAATAA